GTTAATTAAGTTGTACGGAGTTATATTAGCTATCGGGGGCTAGACAAGGGGTTCTAGCAATTGTTTTGAGCTTTAACTAAGTTGTACATGGGTAACTGTAGGGGGCTAAACAGAACTACTATTTAAATAATGGTAAGCATGGGCGACCTATTAAATAGTATTAGCCATAACCTCTGGCTAATGATCAGACTGGCGAGTTTGTGATTGTGGGGCCCATGTAGAGCAGCCGACGTGAGGCACCCTGAGCGACATAGATTCCTAATGAACGAGTAAATATAAAGTAAAGAGTTAACTAGAATAACCAAATGTCAGAATAATAGTAATAATTAGAGACAGACAAACAACCAATTTGCCTTTCAACCTAAATTCGAGGTCATACTAAAATGGAGTCAGATTAGATAATAAAATGGAGTCAGATTAGAATTGAACTTAAAATTAAATAACTTTGCGCGCTGAAAAGACCGAACACGCAAGAAACCTTCAGCCACCACTGGATACCTTCCTCGGGCCAAGTGTGTGGACCTTACACCACCCTCCCTGCGAATCACTCTCTAAAGCCACACCTCCTCCAAAACACATGAACGTGCACAGGCAGACCAGAGGCTAACGAACCAGCAACACGATGAGAGACGGCGTTGGTGGAGGGTTGAATGCAACACTGTCAGATTACCTCACGTCTCATTCACCGGTCAGAAAACATTACAGTACAAAGCGCATAATATTACAATAATAACACCTTCCATTCCCACTTGGTCTGCAGTGTAATGGAAAGCACTGATGACGTATCATGTCTGTGCAAATAGGGTGCGCGGAGGTATGTAAATACATACATTGACAGGAAGGTAGGACAAACGATTTATAATACATATAAATACATTTAGACCACTTAACTTAGTGATTGCTATCGGGATGTAAAGAGACTTTAAACCAGCATAACAAAAAAAATTTTTGAACCAAATCACCTACCCTGCCTTTAAACGTTATGCAGGATCACTCACCTAAAATGAAATTGTACTGAGCTAACTGTGCATTCCTGATCTTCTTGTTCAGGGTGCAACCTGGGTCCAGATCCACATCAGTCATCAACCCTCCCCTGTGGAACTCCTGCTGTACCTGAGATTGACAAGGGATTATTTATGATAACAATGACCTGGCAGTTTATGCTGGGATTAGAGCTAACAGCTACAAGTGTGTGATAAATTGCAAGCAGAGCGTACTTTCTGGGCATATTCATCACAAGTGGGTCCAACAGGAACCACCATCACCTGACGTGGGGACAGCCACAGTGGCCTGTGGGAAACAAAAGCAGGAGAATTTGGTATGCGCACATATGGTCTGTGACTAAACATGATCATGTCAGAGTCTCCGCCTTAGCCGTACCACTTTCCCCCATAGTTTTCAGTCAGGATGGCAATCATTCGTTCCACTGAGCCCAGGATCGCTCTATGGATGATCACGGGCCTCTTCTTGTCATCACCATCATGGCTGAAGAAAGACAATGTTTGGGTTACAAAGTCAGCAACTTGCACTCTTGAAGATCTTGAAAGTTAAATTCAGGAGGGGTGTAGTAATCAAATATAACCACAAAATGTCACTGTTGTACAGGGAATAGAAACGAGGGCTCTGGATGTTCTCTTATGTTCTACGTTGAGTAAACATACCTTACAAATGTGAGATTGAAGCGAATAGGCAACTGGAAGTCCAGCTGAATGGTGGCACATTGGTGATACCTGCCGATGGCATCCTTTATCTGAATATCAATCTGAATCACAAAAAGAGAAAAATGAGTATAAAGTCATTTCTTAAGTGTTCATATTTAATATTACGCTTGCTTTATCTTTTCGTACCTTTGGT